AATCGATCCCCAAAGAAATCTGCATACTTTTTTCGAGGGTTCGTACACGAGATCCAGGCGCGTATGAGCAAAGATTTTAAAACGGAAGAGTGACACATGGGATGGGAATATGTCCTCGGAATTTCAGCCTCCCAAGTTTCTGGCTGTTGAGTTGAAAGCGGTTGACAAAGTTCACTCGCTTCCGAATACGCACGCACACAGGCGGCATCTCGAGAATATGCGCTTTTGCTCACTGTAGCAGCCCTACTGCATTGCACAGAAAAAACGCATAAAAACAGTACAGGATATGCTTTTTACCATTAAATGGTTGAAGAGCTGTGTGAAGCGCTCAAAAAATAAAGCAGAACTTACTTATCACCATATGCGTTCAGCAGTAATCGAGAGTCACGCTCGCAAAGTGTCGCCCATGTCGAATCAAATTGTGGCGCAAATGAACTGAACGGTCCATACGAAGTGTACGAAATTGGCACCTTCAAGTATATGTTGAAAAAGCATATTCCCCTTATTTGCAACCGTACAGGAACGGTAAACCAACAATTTTTTTTCACAAGGAGGCAAGATATGAAAATAGAAAGGGATGGTGAGAAGAGGGAGGAAGGGAAGAGAGACAGAGAAAAACAAGTAACATCGTCAAAACGGACCTACTAGCACGAGAAAATCAGACTAAGAAACACGAAATCACCGGATAACTTAGAAATATTTAACAAGCACTACATTTAGCTAGTCAGGCTCAAAGCTCAACTAAAAAAGACGGGAATTATTAGAACAGACAGAAGTTCAACAGGTGTAGTGATAAATTCCGGTAAAAATAGGATAAAAAACTTGGATTTCAATAAAAAGGGCAATAAGAGAGCAGATATAGTGCAAGATCCAGACAGAGCGAGCACTGAGAAATGTATCCAACCAGTTAAGCTATCCAGCGAAATTTAAATGATCAACTAAATCCATCAAATATCTGTATGTATATATATATATATGTCGGAAGCTAAACTTGCCCAGACGCAACTTCGAACATAATCTCCCACAATAAGTAAATAAATTTTCGAAACAATACCTGGATGTTCGATTTGTGTTCCTGTGGAGCACAAAGTCCAGGCGTCCCCTCCGACAGCTTTTCCATTAGCTGGCCAACAGTGATGGCTTTGCTATCCATCCCATTTGGATTGATGACATTCAGGCAAACCGCACCATCTCTGTTATCCAAAAAAGCCAAATGATTTCTCGGCTCTACGCCGTCAGCAGTGCTCGACAGCAAGCCTCTGAAATCAGGCACGCGACTGGAGAGTTTCTCCTGCAACGAAGGATCCACCTCGTCTAGGATAGTTGACGGTGTAGCATCGTCTACGATTGCATTTTTGTAATCCAATTTTGGTATAGGTCGTGAGCTTGTCTTCTTCGTTAAACCGATCTTCTCAAGTGGCAGCTCCTGAATAAATCTTTATTAAAACAGTCCGCCGTGCATTTAACTGTCGCAAAAATTTCAAAAATTGTTCACAAAATTGCTAGGTCATAAACTGCACTAAGCCTTTGAAGCAGATCGCTTTGGGACAGTCCCAGAATGTATGCTAGTTGTGCATGCCGATAATACAGAAGCATGCGTATACTGCATTTAGGACGCCAATAATGCATCGGTTCAGTGCCCCTGTATTCTCGGTCTGTTCCCTCGCCCCATCCCCAATCTCCCGCTCCTGCGGTATCCCTCTCGACGCTCCCCGCCACTTTTTAATTCCTCTCGTCCCTTTGTTATATTTCTATTTTTAATGACGGAAAGCCATGTAGCTTCACACTCCAAGTAAACCTTTTTTTGTCTGCAAGAGTAAACTCTCAACAAATCGAAATGCAATGGATTTCGTCAGCAAAATCAACTGCCAGAACCCAAACGCATTATTCCGGTTTTTACTAGCGAAACTTTCAAAAGCAAATTATTTGCCATCGAAGCAAATAAATGGGCAGCGCACCGACTGCCGGTGCGAAGACGGGTTTTTTGCATAGTGCCCCACAGATTTTTGTCACTAACAGCATTGGTTTTTCCGGCAGACGCTTGTAGATAAAAGAATTGAGGCTGTCCGTCAAGACTGTCAGGAAAAATTCTTTTAAAATTCCAGCTTTCTAGCTTTCCTGGTCCTCGAGTTAGCAACTTATCCACAAAAAAATTCACGGGCTCGTACATAGGAACGACGCACACGCGGGGGCTGGGTTTGAAATCATTAACACCGACGTGGACGAGGAAAATTTCTTTAAAATTCTAATATTCTGTCTTCTCAGGTTTCTGAGTTAGTAACTTACCCGAAAAAAACTTTCATGCGCCCGTACGTGGGAACCACATAAACCCGAGGACTGGGCTGGAACTGATTTAAACCTATAAGAACGAGAAACTTCCTTTTAAAATTGCAGTCTCCTAGCTTTTCAAATCCACGAGTTAGTAAATTATTAGTAAAAGACTTTTACGGGCCCGTATGTGGGTACCACGCCTACCTGGCACCTGGGTTTGAGCTCATCAGCACCTACTTGAGCGAAGAACACTTCTAGAAAATTACAATTTTTTCTAGCATTTAGGTCCCTGAGTTAGCAAATTACCCGAAAGAAATTTTCACTGGCCGCACGTGGATACCACGCACACCCGAGAGCTGGGTTTGAACTCATTAACACCTAAGTGGACGGGGAACGTCCCTTCAAATTATAACTTTCTAGCTTATCTAGTTCTCGAGTTAGCAGCTTGCCCGTGAAAAGCTTTAGCGGGACCATACATGGGTGCCACGCGGGTAAGACTGCCCATTTTGGGGATGAGCATGTAGATTAAGTTCCCAAATTTTCAGCCTGTAGCTTTTGTAGGTCCTGAGATGAAAAATCGACACAGAGGTCCAGCGCACAAACAGACACATATACACAGAGAACCTTGTAAATATGCATTTTCTGCATTGCATAGATACGATAATTGGCCAACGCACGGGCTACCCATGCGAAGATGCGTTTTTTGCATAGTTCCCCGCAGTTTTTGTCGATATCAGCATCGGTTTTTTCAGCAAATGCTTCTAGCTAAACAAATTAAGACTGCCCGCCGGAACTAGCAGGAACACTTCCTCAAAATTTTTCCTGGCTCCTGAGTTAGCAACTTACTGGAAAAAAACTTTCGCGAGCCCGCACGTGGGTACCACGCACACCCGACGCCTGTGGGCCCGTTGAGACTTACTTGGACGGGGAACATCCTCTTAAAAATACAGCCTTCCACCTTTTCAGGTTCTCGAATTAGCAACTTACCCGAGAAAAACTTTTATGAGCCCGTGCGTGGGTACCAGGCATATCCTGGGGCTGGGTTTGAGCTCACTAATACCTACTTGGGCGGGGAACATCCTCTTAAGATTTCAGCTTTCTAGCTTCTCAGATCCCCGAGTTATCAACTTACCCGAAAATTTTGGCGGGCCCGTAGTTGGGTACCAAGCTTACCTGGGGGACGGGTTGAGCCCACCAATACCTACCTGGCCGGGGAACATTCCCTTAAAATTTCAGCCCCCAAGTAACTCTGGTTCCCGAGTTAGCAGCTTACCCGTAAAAAACTTTGGCGGGCTCTTAAGTGGGTGTCACGGGGTAAGGCCGCCCATTTCGGAGGTGGGGGCCCGTACGCGCATGTAGATTAAGTTCCCCAAGTTTCAACTCCGTGGGTCTCGAGTTGGAAAACCGGTACAGACGCGCAGCACACACACACACACCACACACACACACACACACCACATACACACACCACACACACACACCACACACACACACACACACACACATAGATAACCTCTCGTCACTATGCGTTTTCTGCGTTGCATAGCTGCAAAAAACGCATAAAAATTAAATGAATGATCAATGTGTTCTTAAGAAATTACCTTGGTAAACGGAAGCGTGTGGTAGAGATAACGTAAATTCTGCTCCGAGAAATAGAACTGCACGATTTGGTCCATTTTTTGGGCAGCGATGTGATAGATAGTACCCGGTGAATTGTAGTCCATGGCATTATGAACAATCAGATCAGCGTCTTTCCTCATTGCAAGAATATCCGCATATTCGTCATTGTCAATTTTCCGGCGCATCGTCGCAAAATCCATCGGTTCCTTTATAACCTCATTATAATCGGGTGCCATCGACCTGAAATCACAATTCTGAGAAAAAAAAAAGCATTACGCAATCAAGTCACGCATCCTTCTGTCATAACGAAACTTTGATCAGCTGCTGTTTATAACTCTACCTCCGCCAGTAAACAGCTGACAATTTTTCCGGGCACTATGACCAATATGCAGTGCAGCCTGCGGAGTAGCGTCCTGGATCTTGAACAAGCCATAATTCACAATCAAGTTCTCTAACAGCACAAATGGCAAAGCTACCAGCTGTTATGAAAAATATTTAATCGACTGGCAGCCAGCTATTATCAATTCTATGTTTCAAGTGAAGTGTTAGCTAGAAAAAATTGCCAAAACTGCATCAGTTTTATTAAAAATCTTTCGTCGCATACCAGCAACGGACCAGGAAAAAATTTGAAAAAGCGGACTAAGCGCATGAAAAAAGCTCTTAAGCAAAGTATCTTTCTGAAAGAAATGCATGTTTCAGGCAATAAAAGTAACAGAAAAACTAATGATTTGCGCTGTCTCAAACTGCTATCATCCACATGCGAACAGTGAAGTTGGCGGGCAAAATATTAGAATATCTTACTAATCTGATGTTGAAAGTGAGTAAGTCTTACAGCGTAACAGGGAAAGCGAAGTATTCGTCCGGATCCTTTGACTGCATCTTTCGTAAAATGTGGTCGAAAAAAAGTTGCAGA